GAGCAGGGGATATTATTGATATTCATTCTAGAGTCTAGACTAACATTTGAAAATTAGGGATGGTTATGAACACATAATTCTTATGGTAGCTTTTCGCGAAATTTATAAACAAAAAAGAACATTTGATAAATGCACTGTCATTAATAACATATTTATTTAATTATTCGTTTCTGTCTTATCTGAAGAACAGTCTTGTCTGCCTATGTAATATATGTTATGTCCATCTATATGTGTATGAAGTGAGAATCGTATGCTGAAGTAAAACATTTACAATTGATATTTACAAATTCGTGTAGCTGAAATATTGTCTGCACTCTGTGATTTTTAGACCATGATCACGCGATTGACTGTGTATGGAAGTGAATTCATTTTAGGGACAGAAAGGCAGACGCTGTCAGAAAATATATCTCAGGTATATTGTTACTCTGCTTCTCCCCCTAGTGGCCTGTTTTCTTATGCATTCAACATCTGTTAACTTTATATTGTGCGCCACTATTGATGCTGTCACACAGTTTTACATGGCCGTAAGAGGAAGCGAACGTTTGCTGTACTCGTGCTGCGTAACTTTCCACTGACCGCGTTAGTTCATAGATCGCTCGACTTGTTTATTTATCTTTGAATGATTCTGTTAACAATTTGTTCCCTTAACCTTAATCACAGCTACAGTATGATAGCCCAATATATGCCTCAACCAAGGTTCACAGATTTTAGTGCGTTTCATTTTAAGTCCATTCATAATAGATGGAACTCAATGTGTCCTCAAGTTGTTCACACTCGCGTATCACCACCACCCACAGCCCTCTCCCTGAAACGTAGACATTATGGTCAGGCTGGAGACTGGTTGGTAAAAAAATCGTCTCTCTCACAAAATTAAAGATGGTCATCATTTGAAGTATTGGAATGGCGTGAGTTGTCTATGTTTGTTGGAATTGACATGAAAGTATCAGAATTTGATGTAATTATTATCTTCATGTGATGTGTGCGAAATGTTTGTAGTCAATTTAAATCATAAAAAGCTAAGAATATACTATATAAGGTAGCACATTGTTATTCCTTATATTTGGGTTTTGGATTTACCAGTTTCCAATGTTTACTCATTTGTCACCGTGTTTTTATAATTGTTTGGATTAAACTGGCGGCACAGTAGTTTACTTGGTTATTTACAAATATATATTTTAATCAGTGTAATTAAAGGATAAAAATGTTACGCGATAGAGCTTAGTCTCAGGCATTTGACGGCCTGGCAGCAGATGATGCCACCCTCAATAAAAAGTACATAATCTGGCTTGAAGGAACCAACTTTGTACCTGTTTGTAGGAAGAAGTTTCAGTATATATATATATGTATTTGTGTGTGACAGTTAAAATCATCTACCTGCAACATTTCAAAGAAACGAACGACCAAGAGTGTGTGTGTGTGTGTGTGTAAGATCCCAGTCAATTTATATTTATAAATCTGGAGATGCATAATGTAGGCTGTTTCCATGCGGGATAGTAGATTTTAATGTTTTCTATTGAAGCTCTGCATGAAACCACTTCACTAGAAACATATAACGGATTCCATCATAGTGAAAGTTATATTTTTTATGATTTAATTGCTGTTTTTATTGGTATTCATAAACTTTTTTTTTCGATAAGCCTAAAATAAGTAAACAGCCGACGGTTTGAATATATTGAAAACCTTATGCGAACGTCCGTATAGTTACAGTACTCTTATACTTTAAAATATATGTTAACTGTATGTTTTAGACGTTATTAAGGACCTTGGTACTTTAAAGTTAGGTTCAAAATAATGCAAGGTCGTTACAAAATTTAGCCCTAGTTGTTTATATGTGTTGAGTGTTACATGGACATTTCTGTACCACCTTAAGACCTTAACATGTATTTAAACGCTGAAGCTAGCATACAATTTACACTTACACATACTGGTGATGGCAGATAAAAATGGGAAACAGTTGGCAAGCAGATATTTCTAAGCTTGAAGTAGCTTCTATTTTAGGCAAGATCCCCTTGTAGACCGTGAAACGAGATCTAGAGCTTTGAAATCGCTGCAGCAGTTGTTCTCATGCTTCTTGTGGGAGTTCCAGTTTTTGCTTAGAAATTTGTTTAAGTTAGCGCTGAGCTTGGCATATTGTTATAGCTAAAAACAACACAATTCTAATAAAAAATAGTTTTATGAAAATATCCGCTATCTTAATCATGGTTAGTGTTTAGACATTGGTTTGTTTTTGTGTCGAACTTTACGGGGTAGGAGGGAGACACGACCTCCTCCTCCAAGACCCCGGTGCCTCCCACAAAGAGGTGGAATGTTACGTTCTTGTTCCAGTCTTTTACAGAGGCTGTCTTCTCGACTTAAGATCCAGTCAGCAGATGCGGTTCCCTTTCAAAGTCAGAACGTAATGTAGTCAAGATTTATTATCTCATTCAATCAGCAAATACGTGCATGGTCTAAATGAAATATTTATAAAACTTGTATATGATGAAAACATTTGAACTGAAGCATCCTGTACAGAATCTATATGCGAACTGTTACTTAAACGGCTCTAAACAAGTTAGAAATAAAACAAGCAACGTTTTGTTGGTCACCTTGTGCGAAACTTATTTAATTTTTACTTTGTATAGTATAGTAGAAAGTAAGCACAATATATTTTTTACTCACCCACTGTACTCTTCAGTTTATATGAAGTAGTTAGCTAATAATTGTTAGAGATATGTTCTCTGTAACATCCATTGCTGTTCTGTTTTTCACCCAATTATATTCAGTCTTAGTTTTTAAATAGATGTAATGATTCGAAAGTTAGGTATATGTGGAACAGGAGAAGAATCTGGTCTAGATTTTTTCTCTGCAATTAGTTATTCTATGATAAACATTTTGTTAGTTGTGGGCGTAATCTTTGGGTAATTACATTTTAAATAACTGATTTTGAACTTAATTTGATAAAATAAAAACTCGGGTTTTAAAGCAATTGAATAAATTGTGTATTTGTGTAAATGATCTTAAACTTGGCAATTATTAAAATGAATATCGTATAAGTTAGTACTTGTTTTTCGGTATTTTCAATAGCTGAGTGTGAAAGCAGTTTGTATTTCTTAAATATACTTCTGTATCGAAAACCGACTTTCGATATATACTGTGAGAATTTTCAATTTTTATGTTAGCTTTATCAGTCTCAAAATTTTAAATATCTTGATTTTTGTGCACATGCGGAACTATATTTATATAAACAGAGGTTGAATACGTTATATTAAAACGATTTTAGAACTTACTACGTTGTTACAGTTCATGTCGCCACGTTAGATCATGCTGTAGCTGACGACCATGCAGCTTGACAGTAGCCCTGTAGCATAGCTTTCCATTGCAAAAGACAGTCTTAAGGCTGTCGTCTTTAAAGCATTCCTTCCTGCATGTCTTCAATAATTCCCAAAGCAGTTGTCCTGAAACTTTTCTTTGCCGGCGCCATTTCAGACATCCAGAATCTGTGCGAACGTATCTGTTCGAAAATGTATTTCAATTGGGTAATTCACCTTTTTTTCTTATTTTTGTCAATGTTTGGGAATCTGCCACATAGTGTATGAGGACAACTCCAGTTCCAAGTCAGATCACACAGAAATTCTTGGGTGCTGCGTCCGGCGACTTGAACAGTATGTATTGATATGGATTATCTTTTGTCAATGTTTGGGAATCTGCCACATAGTGTATGAGGACAACTCCAGTTCCAAGTCAGATCACACAGAAATTCTTGGGTGCTGCGTCCGGCGACTTGAACAGTATATATTGATATGGATTATCTTTGTGTTCGTGGATTCTTACTTGTTTGCAAGATGTCGCACTTTACGTACCACCGTTGAGGTACGACTTGTGTATGTCTCTTTTTGGATGCTCATGGATTTTTGGTGGCCCAAGTTGATTGATATTCATTTTAATATCATTAAGTACAAGGGGTATCCCGTCTTGGAAATTTTAAATCCCCAATCTGAACAAATCTTTACGATCTGATTAGATGAATATTTTGCGTTGGAAAGGGCTATTATACACCCTTTCGAAAATGATCAGTTTTCTGTGGCATTACACTACCTACTAAACGCCAAACAATGTCAAAATATAATTCTCATACATTCCATTATACAGCAACTTTATATCGGTTGTGGTTGTCATGTGACATTCTTATTTGCATATCTAAAATCATATTTACGTAACGTACTCAATCCTCTGTACTTTGGGATTGTTTCTTTTGTTTAGTGAAGTTTGTTTCATATACGTAATATAATTTTATGGACGTCGTTTTGAACTTTTATCATGTTGATAACCTTGTTAGTTACATCATCCTAACAGTATCATTATTCAACGTCTGAAATGTTTTATAAACTAAGTGGCTATTTATACAATTTAAAGCTCTTATGACCTTTACAGAGCCTAATTATCTATTACAAAAAATTATTTTAACTTTGAGCATTTCAAAAATAAATAAAAGTATTCAAGTAATATTGAGAATCACTGAATAATAGGGTGGTACTGATTCATGAATTATTAATTGACAATAAAAACAAAATAAAAGGCTTGATAAACCTCAATTATTTCAACTTTTAATTTTAATTTTGTATACTATGACTACACATATTCATATATATATATATATATATATATATATATGTATGTGTGTGTGTGTGTGTATGTTGTTAACATACTTGGACATTATTTAAGCATAGGCTAAAGTTGTAGGTTAGATATTGACTTGTTGATGCGGTTACTTTGCTGGCTTGTCTCCTTGCCTCTGTTGTTCACACGAACATGCCTCCCTTGTTTATATTATTTGCCATGTTGGTATCAACACTGAAAATGGCGGTAAACTACACGTACTGGGTATGACACGTGCTTCCTCCACGTCTCTGAAACGCGTCGACTTTTGTGGGCTGATTCTGGTTGTGGATGAACATCTGGGATTGGCGGGTTGGATGGCTGATGTGGATCACGTGCTGCTTTGGCTGGTTTCTATTGGCTAGTCTCCCCACGAGCACGGTTCCAGGCCACCTAGCGTTGAGGACGACGAGGACGGTCATCTGATCTATCATCATGGAGACATCCTGCAAGATCGATGTACTCATCTTTTCGTAACGTCTCCATTTACGTTTTAATTCAGTATCTTTTTCACTGGCCATCTTGTCCTCTTTCTGTTTAGATACTTCTAGTACTATTTTTGTTTGTGTAGTTCTTACAGAGGGAGGATAAGTGGTATTTTAAAATATACAATTTTCCTACTCCAAATGAACTCGTGGTTACTGATAGCTTGAAAAAATATTTATCGAAGATTTTTTCATCCTAAGTTATAATAAAATAGCAGGGTGTTTCTAAGTTTTTGTTTTACTTTTTTTTATAATTGGTTGAACTGTAATAACGTTCTTAATTGTAAGTCATGAGGTTTACGATTGCGGTTTGAATATTGAAATAGTTTTTGACATTCTGACACTTAGTAAGTACAGGGTGCTTAAAAAGTGGTAAACCATTTTACATGTAAAGCATTATACCTTTATATTTCTTATATCAGTTAGTTGATCAAAATAAGTTATTTTGGAAAGCTAATTGGTAATATGGTGTTTCAGCATGATTAAAATTTCTGCATAGTAGTGAATTGTTCATTATAAACTTTTTGAAGTACTCTGTACATTATCAGTTGTGATTTCCTTGTTAGCTTTTGTACCCTTATTTCTCAAAACTATGGTATAACTTAATCACTGGTCTTTTTTCAGATAAAATCCTCGCTACTTTGGGTGAGGGAACGTTTGGGAAAGTTGTGAAAGTTGTTGATTTAAAACAGTAAGTACCACTCAAAATAGTTAATATTTAAATAGCAGGATGTATGTATATATATATATGATGTTATTAAAGGTACATTTAAACTGAAAGCTGAAAAACAAAAAATAAAATTCACAGTAATTCCACTTCCAAAAAATGTCTACATCTACATTAAAGAACCCTAACCTTAGGTCGTGCAGACATTAAATAGCCTTAAATTTATCAGACTTTTTTTAATTCCAGAACGGGCTTCAGAATGATTAATGGTGTTGACTACATCAAATACAAATGAAAATTGGTTAATGCCAGAAAACGTTCTATAAATGAAAATAAGAAATTATGCCATAATAATATTAATGTAATGGGATACAAGACTCGAGTAGATTGGTTATCTTATATCTGATTCTAGCTGAAATTCCCTTGTGAACGTATTTGTAGTTGGCGTGTAGTTTTACCAATATACGTAGCTATATAGATGTCACAAGTGTATTTATCAACGATCCACCAGTGCCTAGGGATAGTTAGAGTATTTTGGTTTAAACAAGTTTTGAATTTTAAATGTTGACTTAAATACTAAACGTATCTGAATTTGTGGGTAATATGTCTTGTTTTCTGGATTTGAGTTTAAAACTTCGTTTGCTGATAAAAGGAGTAATAAGAACCAGCAGATATTTTGAGACACTATGTGGCTTCTTGGTAGGTTCCACACAAATAATTTAAATTGTAAAATACAGCGGTGAGACACGTGTGTCCTACAGAATTTTGCTGATATACTGCTTGATAAATTTTATTTTCAACATAAACAGTCGCACAAAATCTATATATATATATATTATTTTTTTTTTTTTAGTTCTGGAAACTAATTTCATTTTACCGTAGTATTTAATAGTAGCGATCGATAAGGATTCTAAATAATTCACGCGCCGAAAAAACATCCTACCGAATTCCTAAGCGATAGGTTTTAATTCTTATAAAAGCTATAGCTATCAGTGATATGGCTATATTGAAAGCTTATAGATGTGTCCATTCCATGGACATATAAAATATAAATAAATAAACAGGAAAAAAAGTAAAATTTTATCGGAAAGTTGGAATCGATGGTTATTCGTTTAATTACTATAATAAATGTAGACTGCTTCATTTAGCTATACCGATCACAATGCCAACTAAACTAGAAATTGAAAATCGTTTTAAAATCTATCCAACTAGTATCACTTGTTTGTGTACTTTTTATTGCAGCATTTATTATTTGTATACTTCTTATAGCAATTATACGAATAACCAACGATCCCTACTTTCCGTTAAAATCTTAATTTTTTTCCTATTTATAAAAAATAACATTTATCACATTGTATTATATAATAGGTACAAATTTTGTTGTATCTGTAAAAGTTCTTAGGGATTGTGAAACGTAATGGTTATGCCCTTAATTTATTACACACTATGGCACGAACATTTTTAGTAAATAAAGTATAACCTACCAAGAAGCCACACATCATCTTAAAGTATCCGCTGAATCTTATTACACCTTTCATGGACAAACAAAGCTTTAAACTCCAATCCCGAATTCGAAAAATAATCGAGACATATTATCTGCACATTAAGCTAAGCTTGAATTCATAACTTGTTTAAAACCACAGACACTATACCCATCCTTATATGCTTGTGGGATATTTATAAATATCCACGAATGAAAGCAAAGGAGAATATGTTATAATATGTCAATCAGACTACACAGCGTGGTCACAAGTAAATAGACACCACCTTTTCAGAAAAAAATGTAAATTTTCAGTCATATTCACATGAATTGATATATTTATAATTTAATTAATATCTAGTAGATCTTCCTTTCACTTCGTGGAGGCCAGGTGGTTAAGGCACTCGACTCGCAATCTGAGGGTCGCGGGTTCGAATCCCTGTCACACCAAACATGCTCGCCCTTTCAGCCGTGGGGGCGTTATAATGTGACGGTCAATCCCACTATTCGTTGGTAAATAAGTAGCACAAGAGTTGGCGGTGGGAGGTAATGACTAGCTGCCCTCCCTCTAGTCTTACACTGCTAAATTAGGGACGGCTAGCGCAGATAGCCCTCGTGTAGCTTTGCGCGAAATTCAAAAAACAAACACTTCGTGGAGTTCGTTGATTCTTTGGGGCATCGTGATAATCATCTCGTCAATTTTAGATTGTGGGATTTTCGCCCACTCTTGCTTCAAAATTTGGGAGTAAATCGCTCTTAGAAGTTGTTTTTTT